AATTTGTCCAATCAAAGTGCGTTATGAATGCGTAAGTAAGTTTCATTGGCTTGAATAGGAGTTTCCTGCATCTGGACGAAACCTGCACAAATCTATAAATAACGTCGTTCGCCTTGGACTAACGTACAAAACAGCCGAAAATTCTGTTAACCAATTGAAAGGCAACATTTGGGCTTGTAAATTGTTTGCCAAAGTGTTTGCACCATTTTAACGAATGGCACTGCCAGAGTTGGTGTAGGCTTAGAATGAAATAACCAACCCCACCCCTCTAGAAATCGTGGATGCGCACAAATTTGAAGAGGTATTGCGGCCCATTTTGTGTGCAGCAAAAATAATCCACCGAGCCGAATCGTACCTGTTAGCAATGAGCATTTGCCTTATGCATATAGAATATCAATGCAAAAATATGACAGATATGTCATTTCCAAAAATGGGTTACAGCCTCGAGATTGATTGTAGATACCGTCCTCGTATTACTGTATTCAGGACATGATCGCATGCCGAGAGGTCAACTCTGACAGCGATGAGGATGAGACATAATGGCTATCTCCACAAGAATAGGCGAAGAAGGCAAAGAAAGCAGAAGCGAAGGTGGCCAAAAAGAAGCGCTTTCAAGTCAAGGCAAAAAAAACTCTCTGGGAAGTAGACAGCAAAATTTGAGTGCAAGTATTTATTGACCAATCAAAAAATATTGCAATATTTATTGGCTAATGATTCGTTATTGCAATAGTTATTGCCCTTTGGAATATTATTGCAATAGTTATTGTCCAATCAAAATTTAGTGCAATAGTTATTGGCGAATCAGTGGTTAGTGCAATAGATATTGACCAAGCAAAATATATTGCAATAGTTATTTCTATTCTGTCGGAAACCACAATAAATAAGCAATAAATAACTCCACCGGAAAATATATTTAAATATATTTTTCACAATCGCTGCTCATCAGTGCACAATTCTCTGGAGCAGCATCACACAAAGCTCTGCAAAATTCAAAGTTCAAAATTGTAACCTCTTCTGTCAGTGTTATAGCCAATTGTATGTAAGAAACAAGATGTGATGGATATCTGATTGGATATTAAAAGGAGCAAGGTGGCATGTACGGCTTTCTATTGGTTGAAATACTGCCGAGCCGACATTGCACACGAAACGGTGCCGATCTGAATAAGTAAAACGGCACGAACCAGCAGGAGTAATGTTGTGGTCGGTGGCAGTCAGCCTCACCATGATGCATGGGGACCAATGGTGGGATCCCTTTTGTAGCCCATTCCACACAATAGCGTTTGCGACTTTTAAAACGCACGAATGCGGCTAAGAGTAATGGTTGCGCTTTAGGTAGGTCCTGATTGAACATTACTGTAGCTACGCCAACACCATCTTACCTCCAGTAGTGATTCCAATTGCCCCTCATTCAACAAACGACACTAACCACGTTCTCCAGCTCTGCATATCCACATACTTTCGCAATGTGAACCACCGTACTTGTTAGCACACAGTGTTTACAAGTAACCCCACTGCTAGCATCTGCACAGTGGGGATGCTTATAACACTAACTGCGACCTCCCTTCAATGTGTGCCCCCTTCCACCACAACACTAAATAATCAAATTTTCAATACTACAACTACTAAGATCACTTATATTGTTGCGAGCGACCTCACAGGTATCACAAAACACTCATCACAGAGTTGATTGAGACGACGGGAAGCAATTATGAGCTTACAAACTTACCTATTCAATGGTGGCAACCTCGTGCACCAGTGAGTTATCAATGTAAATCTAGAAGTGCATATGTACTCCAGCGGTAGGGTTCTTTACAGTGAATTGTCACGCTCGCTACGATGTCCACGGAGTGTTTACTGTACTTCAGTATCGTTGGCGAGCAAGGAACAAGCATGCCTGATGAGTGGCTTGTGTTGCGCAAAGTAACCAGGTCCATCGAACGTACTACTTCGAAGTATCATAGTACGTGTACAGTGTTAGTACGTGTACAGTGTACCTTTAGCCCCCGCCAACAAACAGGACTCTGTACGTCGATACATTCGAAAAAACCTAGATACCTTACAACAAACAGGACTCTGTACGTCGATACATTCGAAAAAACCAAGATACTTTACTTGGTCGTTGTATTGACATGGAAGAGACATCTGCCAATAAAAGCCAATAGGCGTCTACTTTTAACCAATCAGATAGTTGTCGGATAAATTTGTCGCAGCGGCCATTTTATCTATACATGTAATGCCTATACATGTACTCAGTTAGCATTAACCACAGTCAGTGAAAGCATAAATCCCCGAACGGAATTATGAGTACCAGGTCGACCGATTTGATGGCAGCACGACTGTACAGTGACGCTTTGATCTTGCATTGCCGCACTGACATGTAAATCAGCCACCTCACACTTGGCGCCACGATGTCCCAAGGA